CGACCACTTTCTCAACGATCGATGATCCCAGAGGGGCCCATCCCTCCTGTTACCATGCCAACACGCTGCGGCTCTGTTATGATTGAGGACTCCAAACAGCATCTCCTCAGGACATCCCATCTTCCCCCTCCATCCTTCCTCTCATTTGTTACTCCTCTCCCTTTCTCTTTTCTCCTCCCTCCTCTCACACCCTCCTTCACTCTGTTTCACATCAATCCCTTCCTCAGCTCCTGTTTTTTTCCTCCCTTTTCACTGTTTCCATGCCTTTAAGCTCCCCTTTTTTGTGTTTACATCTTATTATAACTGCCTTGTTACTCATATATTTGATGATGCTGAAGAGCTGCAACGCAGCCTAACCAACAGAGTAAATAAACAAAAGGAAGTACACCTATAAAATCCTCAGTGCCATAATTATAGTATTACTCTGTACTGCGGTTAGTCCTTAAAAACATCTAGGTTTCAGTTCTGAGGACTAAGATTGTCGTTGTGATTTTTTTTTGCAGCTGATGAAGCGTTTGATGAGTTAATTGGTTCATATAGTTGGTTTCTTTTTAGATATCTGATATTTTTAGATCAGTTTTTGCAGAGTTTAAAATTCAAAGCTTTATATTATAATTCCTGTTGCCGTTGGAAGAGAAACAAGCCCACAGCACCACAACCCCTCCACTGTACCAGGCCCTAAGCACAGGGTTGTAGTTATTTATATACTGGTAGGAATTTAAATAAAGTTATCTAAATTTTACAGATAAAGCAAAAACCAAAGATTAAAAGTAATGAAATATGAATCATTGTTTTATATAGAGACAAACTCCTGACATTTTCTGACATGGACCCCGAACTCATCTGAAAAATCAACCTGAGAATGGAAATATTGCTGTGAACTTATTCTTAAAGAAAACCTAAAGAAAAAATCCCTAAAAACCTGAGAGGAAAAATATATTTTAATGCATAGCATCTCTCTCTGACATACTGATGAAGACCTTGAATTATCTAGTTCATTATCTGTATTTTAAGTTTATTTTGTAGTCTGTGTGCTATAAACTCTATGACTCTGTGGGATTTGTTGTGATCTACAAAGACAATCAGGCATTTTGTTAGCCACAGCAAGTATAGTATTATTTATAGAGGATGAAAAAGGAAAATCAAGTGAAAGAACTTAAACAATATTAAACAATAACCTGTTCATCATTGTTAAATGTGTGCAACCAGAGTCTGCTTATCCAATACTGAAACTGGACAAGCAGAACGTTTTTGCTGCTAAAAAGCAAATAGCGTCTTTGTACTGAGGCACTTTGTGGGTTATATAAATGGTGGGTTATGGAAGCATCTAATGCATAAAATTTACCCTTGGTTATGTGTTTTTAATTAGTTTCTGCTGAACCAAAATGTGTCGCATTTTCACTGAGTAAATCGGTTTTCCTGTTTCTGCATGCATGTAAAAAGCAGAGCATGTTGCTTCGCTTAGTAAATTCCCACCTCAGAGCAGAATTATTCAGACTTTCTTACATTTTTGGTCTTTATAAACCTTTAAACACTTCATTTTTATTTGTTTAATCTTTCTTTTAATCTCTTAACATTTTATAATGTTCGTCTACTTTTTTTGCTTCTTTTATTCATTTTCTTCCTTGTTCAAACTCAACTCTGCCTTTTTGTCTTCCCGCAGCGTAAAAAGGCTCACAGTCATAATTGGACCTTTGGCTTTCCATTAATCAAATCCAAAACCGATTTGAGGTAAAATCCACATCAGCAGAAACACAGTCGCATTTTATGAGACAGTGATTTAGATTTAGGAGCCTGAGGCTTCAGTTCATTAATTTAACAGTAAGGTATAAGGACACATTCAGCTGTTGACCTTGAGCCAGATAAATACAGTGGAGCCAAAAAGTATTTAATCAGCCCCTGATTGTGCAAGTTCTCCTACTTAGAATAATTAGAGATGTTTGTAATTATCATCATAGGTACAGTCTGACTATAAGAGACAAAATGAGAAAAAAAAATCCAGTAAATCACATTGGTGTGTGACAGTTTGAGGCTGTTGACAGGTGTGTTTTATACAGATAATGGGTTCAAACCGGTGTCAATAATACAGGTAACGGGTGGAGACAAAAAAGAGCTTCTTAAAGAAGAAGTTACAGGTCTGTGAGAGCCAGAAATCTTGCTGGTTTGTAGGTGACCAAATGCTTATTTTCCACCATAATTTACAAATAAATTCTTTACAAATCCTACAATATGATTTTTTTTCTCATTTCACCTATCATAGTTAAAGTGTGCCTATGATGGAAATTACAGAGAAGTAGGGAGAAGTTGCACAATCAGTGGCTGACTAAATACTTTTTAGCTCCACTTTAAATCTTCATTCAAGAGAAACAGTCTGAATGAACTGATATAGCTTAGAGCACAGGGTCTCTACTAACACTCAGGGAATTAACTTTTAAGCTTTGGATTGGAACCTGTTGGCTTCATTTGCACCTTTTCACAACTGAGATCAGCCTATGTTTGGATTCATCTGTGAATCAGTGAAGGTAAAAGAAAACAAGAGTTTGAAACAATGAATCTAACCCCTGTTTGGTCTGTAGGCAGATTCGCTCTGCAGTGTTTTTCTGCCATGATGCTACACTAGAGCGCAAACATGGAGGGCAAACATGTTTGCTGATGTTCCGTATGAGGGGTTGTTCCTTTTCCAGCTGCTGATGCGTGAATGCTCCAGGAAAAGGCTTTCTGTTTAATTTCAGCCACGCTTAGATGATAAATGACAGATCTTCTGATATGATGGGATCAAAAGGGACTGAAGAAGGATCTTTAGATGCCGCCTCTTTTTATTGACTTTCAGACACCTCATGAGGAGTAACATAAATCACCTCCTTCTTTAGACACAATCTTTTCAACATTCTGCCATATCAATCATCCATTAGCCTGTTCAGACTGTTTTTAAGTTTTTTTCAGGAACATATGTCTTCATTTTTCTGATCACTCTGAGTATAAACTGCTAGCTTAGGAAATCACTTCAAGTCAAACCCGAGGCTTCAAGTATTCCACACTGGTTGATTGCCTGGTGAAGAATCCTAACACCAAACCCCAGAAATGACGTTGGATGTGTGGAAACATGGAGCAGTTTCTGCTTTAATCGTTAAGGTTATCAGATTAGACTATGAAAATAGTCCACCTGAGGCAGAAGAGAACTGAGCCACTGCTTAGGGTCCGAAGGAAACAAGAAGGCCCCCAAGAGCAATTCATTCGTTTTTCATTTATAATGATTGTCATATATAGTAACAAAAACACAAACTTTCATTATAAAATTCTGCTTTTTTTTACAAATATATCTCCTCAATCTGTCAGGGTTTAGTTGTGGTTTGGAGGACCCAAATGCAGAGGCAGAGGCTGAGGAGATTTCTGGGAGTTTTAATGGGGCAAAACAGTAAACAAAGGCAGGAATCCAAAAATCCAACTAATAATGAAAGGCAAACCAGAACTGAGAAGACATCTGGGGAAAACCAAACACGAGGAGCCAGGGAGAGACGAGGAACATGGACAACAGCATGTGAGGACAGCAAAGACAAGGAACCAACAAAGTGTGAGAGCAGAGGGAGAGCATATATAGGAGAGAGAGACAAAGGGAGGGCTAACGAGCAGACAAGGAACAGGTGTGAGAGGAGACAACGAGGGAGCCAAGGGGAAAGGAACATACACACACACAAGAGGGCAAAAGAGGACAACAGAAAAACTTGAGAACTAATATAAAATCTAGAAATACAACAAAACTGGAATTAGGCCAATAAATCTAGAACAGCAGAACCAAGACCATGACACAATCATGTTTAGAATTACTTATAAATGATAAAATAAAGGTAGTTTATGTTTTCCAATAGAGCTCTGGCATATTTTACATCGTTTTAAGAGCTAATTAATCTGCTTATTTAAAAATATGATCGAAATTTGATTGTTTGATTTATTTATGTCTATTGTTTTACTAGTTACGTAATTATCTTTACTTATCAAAGCTATTTAAAATGTTTTTGGTTGTTGCTTCACTACAGGTTATTTTTGCTCCTTGCTGTCACAGGTGGGATTTAATAATATAAACTATGTGACAATTTTATGTGGTTAAACTGCATATTATCAAAAAATGGGAGACTGTCAAGAGTTTATATTTGGTCTTTGAATGATCCGATCATCCCCCTGTTGGTTGCAACCCATACAATCGATATTAATAGGCCCCAAAAAGAATAATTAGCAGCACAGAGACACACAACCATTCATGCACACACTCACACCTAAGGACAATTTAGAGAAGTTTTTGGACTTTTTGGAAGCCAGAGTACCCGGAGAGAACCCACGCATGCTCAGGGAGAACATGCAAACTCCATGCAGAAAGACCCCGGGCTGTGGAATTGAACCCAGAACCTTGTTGCTGCAAGGCATACACACACATATATATATATATATATATATATATATATATATATATATATATATATATATATATATATATATATATATATATATATATATATGATCTTTTAGTTACCATTTGTTTTTGGTCTTAATGGGGAATTTAACAGCTTTAACGTTCTACAGGAAAGTTTGAACGACTACAACCAGCACAGAGGCAGGAACACAGAGATTATAATGTTTAAAGTCACTTTGCCTGGTTCTTTTTTTGTTTTTTTAGGAGAACTTTGAGAAGATGAAACCCAAAAAATATAAAAGATGAAAAATATCCAAAAATTAATATAGCTATAAATCTATAGACATATAACTATAGAACACACATTGATGTTCAGTTGTATTTTCTGCTGTGAAAAATGTAACCTAATAATGTCTTTTTTGTTTGCTCTGGATGTTGTGAGAATCAGACAGTGTTGATTATATTTGAATAGCTTTGATCTATTTTCATCCGATTCTTTTTCTGCTTCACTGCATCTCTACCTTCCTGTATTTTGCTCTGATTTAACAAGAACAAAAGGAAATAAAAGGGATTCATTTTTTTTGTCTGTTTGCAGGTGAGCTCGTTGCATCGCTTTCAGCTTTACCCAGATCCCATCTCAGCCTAATCCCATCATCCTCTTCTTCATCCATCCCTTTTGCTGCCCGTGGGAACCCAGCATCGCCATGTCCACCTTCGCCCCTTTCCTCCTCTTCCTCCTGCTCCTCTCCCCGCTGCCTCCCTGCCAGCCGGAGTCGCAGCGCAGTGACCCCAGCGCTGACCCCAGTCTGAGGGCCGCTCTGCCCTCCTCCTATCCTTCCTCCTTCTCTCCATCCCTGGCTTATGGGAACAGCACCGCCCCTGCCCTCAAGGATAAGTGTAACCAGGAGACGGTGTGCGAACCAGGAATTCTGCTGCCCGTCTGGAAGCCGGATAATCCTGGGCTCGGTTATCAGGTGGCCAGAGCCGTGGTCTACTTTGTTTCTCTCATGTACATGTTCCTGGGAGTGTCCATCATCGCAGACCGCTTCATGGCGTCCATAGAGGTCATCACATCGCAGGTGGGAGGAAAACACAGAACCAGGTGCTTTCTACCGGTTTTGTGAATCAATCAGCTTAGTTAATATTATAAAATGACACATTCATCTGTCTCGCAATAACTATTTTACTTACAAGCAGTAAATTCTTTATGGTAAATGAATTATTAACAGCTTTTTAGGGATTTTGAAGGATTTCTTACTGTTTATTTTTGGATTTCTGATGCCCTGATGAACAAGGGGACAGATTGTTTTATGGAAACAGGAAAGGACCAGTTAAGTCCTGTCTTTTAGTGGTACAAACAAAATAAAGCAAACAGCAGAACCTGAGAATAGCATCAGCTTTTAGTTGACCATCTCCCAGCGGCGTAGGAAGCGGGGGGGACGGGGGGGACATGTCCCCCCCCAATATAAAAGCCAGGTGGATATGTCCCCCCCAAAAATTGTACCGCAAAATATTAGATTTTGACAATTTTTTAACTATCGTGCTTTTATTTTGAAGGCGCAGCATAGCGTTACGTCACTGTACTCCCCCTCCCCTCTGTGAACTGTTGAGTGTTTGAGCACTCAGAGGGAAACAGCAATACAGAAAGTCAGAAACTTGTGAATGAGGTAAAATGGTCTGTCGGGAATGCTGCTATGAATATTGCCTATTTATAACGTCTTGTTGTCAGTTCACCTTCATATATAGAAACTGAATCTTTTTGGTTTAGGCATCTTAGTCTTGTAGGAAGAGGATTAGGGCCGCTGAAAAAAGTTAACTGATTTTTAATTTTTTTTAGTTTAACATGGGGGAAAAAGTCAGAATTCTGACTTTAATCTCAGAATTCTGACTTTTTTCTCAGAAATCTGACAGATGATTAATGTTTCTAATCAATTTACAGTTTTTTTTTGGTGGTGGTGGGGGTACTATACAGATATATAAAAACAAGGAGGTCTAACTAAAAAATAACCAGAATATATTTTTAGAGTAAAGATTGACTACTTGTGTTTACACAAACACACACTTTCAAATCTGCTGAGCTTGCTGTGCAAGAAAATGTAAAATATACGTATAAAGAAATATAACAGGAAGTACTGCTAAAACAAACTAAATGTTAAATAATGTAGATATTGGTTTAAAAAATTCTTCAGATTTGGAAATTTGGAAGGAATACATAATTCTGAAATTAATCAACAAATTTGGTTAAAAAAAATAAATAAATAAAAAATAAAAGTTGCACTTTTTTACTTGAGGAATTTGTTGAATAACTTCATAATTATGAGTTTAACTAGTTGGAGGTAATGCTACACTTCTCTGCTTCCTGTCCTGCTCATAAAAGGTAAACATTATAAACCCACCATTAATTTTCTACACTATTTGGAAAACACAACACAAATGTAATTTAACAAAAGTATGTTTAACAACAAACATGTTAGCATCAAGCCATAGCCATGTCTCTTTTAGAGACTAGCTCTCTTGTTTTAATGACTTTCTGCTCCTCCATTAATGAGGGGACCCCTCGGGCACGTAAAAAGTTGCCTAATTTCGTCATTTTCCACCAATGTGTCACTGGCTCTCTCAAACAACTCACATCTTTGTCAGTGAAGTGCTCCACATCTCTGCCTTCATGGTGTCCATCTACATTAAGATCCAAAATTCTGAGAAAAAAAGTCAGAATTCTGACTTTTTTCCCGTATTAAACTGAAATAAAATGTAAAAATCACTTAACTTTTTTTTTCTCCAGTGGCCCTAATCCTCTTCCGTAGTCTTGGGCTGATCACTCATCCAATATTTAACTGCTAACTTTCTCTAGACGTTTGCCACGCTAGCCAAAATGTTTTTTTTTTTATATCTCATTTCAGTACAATGCCACCACCAACTAAAAGGCTGAAACAGCAGTAGGACTTACTCAGATTTTTTTAAAAGAGAAACGTCAGTGTGAGTAACAGTCACCTAACACAACTTGTGTTGAAATTAGCCCGGTCTGGGCGTGCGTTTTACGAGGATTTTTTATTTTTTGCATGGTTTTGATTCGCCGAAATGGACAGATGTTATACCTGTCGCGCTCCTGATCGTTAGTTAACCACAGGGAGAATTAATTCTAGTTCTTAGCAGCGGCGGCCGCATTGGTCGTGCAGCGGACTGCTGCACAACCACTAATTAACCAACTAATTAACTTCTGCATCTTTATTTCCTCAAATAAACTGCTGGCTCCTCTTTTTACACTATAAACAGATTAACACAACATTGACAACTCTGTAGTTTTCTCTGTTCTGTACTGCAAATTGGAATTAAAGGCGCCATTTCTAGCAAAGGTCTGGACAGACTGGCCACCTGTCTAGGGTGGACCCCGCACCAGCACCTCCCGACCCCACTAAGGGACAGGGTGTACAGAAAATGGAAGGATGGATGGATTTCTACCAAAGGTTGATATGCGTTTTTGAACCAGATGCTTCAAAGCGCCCTGTCCATAATTCTTCAACACACTGTCAGCTCCCTCTGTCAGTCAACCTATATAAATTCATTTTTGACCATTATTGCAAGTTTGACAAAATAAAACATATCAAACTTTGCACTTGTGTGGCCTACTGAATTGTTTTGATTTTCTAGTGCGTATGCGGACACTAAATATGCCAAGGGCTGAAGCCCTTGAAAGACATCTCCCTTTGCTTAATAAAAGACTCCAGTCATTTTGTTTGGTGATATGCTCACATCTTATGAACAAATGCATTATGTTAATTTTAAATGCATTATTTTTGCAAACACATTTATAAAGGAATAAAGTAAAAGATTAAATAGCCTTTTTTTAAGTAGCGTACTTAAGATATGTTTCTGTTGAATATTTACGAATCTCAGATTTCCGACATGTGTCCCCCCCAATTGTAAACATATTCCTACGCCCTTGCCATCTCCTAATTATTTTCACTCTCGGAATGTGAAAGTCTTCTGCCCATCTAAGGATCTATTAAATTACTTTCTTTCTCAGATTGTCGGTAGAAATCAATACAACACAGGTAGGTGCCATAACTTTTTGATGTGGACCAAAATGTAGATGGAAGTAAACTAAGCAGAAGGAGGGGAGAGTAACCCGGAGGACGTCTTTTTTAAAAATAAAAATAAAATGCAGATTTGCACAACAGAGAAAGGCAGACGGCTCCCGTGGAGGAGCAGAGATCTGCGGGAAACCTGCCAATAGCCTGAGAGTTATTGGACTAAGGATGTTTATTCCATCCTTTTTCTACAGCTTGTCTGTCAGGTTTAGGGAGGGGCTGGACAGGGGCTGGGCTTGGACCGTGGACACGTCTCCAATGTTTATAGGAGTTTATATTCCATTCTCTATGTTCAAAAGTTCAAGGATTAAAAGTATTAAAAATAATTAAGGCATTCATTACACTAACACTAAAAACAAAAACTGAAACGTGACTGATGATATATGATGAGAATTTAAATTTGGTAAAGACCCAGAATACTTTACGCAGAAAAAGACAGAGTTCAAAAGGATTTGTTTTCAAATTAAAGAGTAGGCATTTAAATGGTCCGGCTTTATTGGGGTTACTCTGCTGATTCTTGGACACAATAACAGAGATGAGAGACCAGATTGGGGTAATAAGCAGAGAATATTGATAAATTACCAGGTGTCAAAGCACAGCTCCAACAGAATGGCTTTTAGAATGGGGACTTAATCTCTTGGGAAGGTTTACAGAAAGCAGGAGTAATGGAATCCACAGTCGAACAATTTGAGGTCCTTTGGCTGCCCAGGGTCATGGTCAGGTGAAAATACAACACTGTTGGGTCAAGGTCACTCAGACAAAGAATTTACAATCCTGTGGGCTTAATCAGGGTAAGAGTTTAGGTGAGGGATCATAAATAAACTCAACACACTCAAATAGTTATCTCCGCTTGTTGTAACTGCTACAATGTACGGCCTTATATCAGCCAATAGAAATTGACTTGTCTTCTCAAGTAATCATTTTGTGGTAACATGACACATAGTATGTTTTATTTATTACTTATCAGAGTTGAGCACATGCGTAAAAAGTATGAAAAGCCATAATCAGTGGAGCACCAACATGGAGCAATAATGCTACAGCTGCAACAGAGGGAGATGGCATTGAAGAAAATTCTTGCTCAATGTATAAGTTTATATTCAGTCTCTTTAGCGGGGGGGGGGTTACATTTATTAAAAGCACTCTCCTCTCTGTTGTGCCATTTGTAGATCACTAAAATAAGATCCACATTCCTAGTCAGAACTGTAAAATCAGATTTCAGCAGAAGTCTGCTTCCACACATGTATGAGATAAGAGGAACATATAACAGAGAACATAACAACAGCAAAAAGAAGACAACAGAAACATAGTTAACATTAAAAATAGGCTGCAAGAGCAGCAGGTATACTTTAGATATCCACATGTGGAAGGCAAAATCTATAGTGATTACACAATATTATTCAGGAAGTATATATCTGTAGCTGCACTTCTGCACTTTATTATTTATTATTAGTGTGTTAAATTTGATTTTTGTTCTGGAGTTCATTAGATCCACGTTACATAGTCTGTAATGGAATATTCTTATAGCATTCCAAAACTTGCAAGGTGTACCGAGGCTTTGAAAATAGTTTAGGAACAACCTAAAGGTAGAATTGCTGGATTTTAGAAATCAGTTGCAGCTCCTTAGCATTTACATCTTCACCTCAGTGTGTCCGCAAAGGCCGTCTCACCCTATTCAGCTCATCGTCTGAGCTGGGCAGATAGGGGAAGACAGAACGAATTGAGGTTGTATTGGCCATTATGGAAACGTAGCCAGATAAATTGGAGGCGAGTAGAAGAAGATGATAACAGAATGAGCAGCTGAAAGGGAAGTGGGGACAGTGAGTGAGTCTTGCCCCAACTTGACTGCCTCCATTCTGCTCAAGGTCAGGGTGAATTAATGTCCAGGCAGATTCCCAGTGATCCGTCACTGCAGCAGAGACCTCAGGCCCATTTAGCAGGAGCTCTGTGCATCTCTGTGAGCTTGGCTACTACTCTTAATCAGTAATAACTAATGTGGATTCCTCTGAGGTTCTTATTGGGTTTAAGCTTTTTTTCCCCTGTAATAAATATTAAAAAAACACCCCTGATAAAACAAATAATATAGTACCTCCAACAAAACATGAAGAATATGTTCCGGTAATAAACACAACTTCCTGGACTTCTATATGTTTCCATGTCAAGGTTTTCTATTTAAATAAATGAAAACATGATCTAACTTTGCTGACATTACTTCTCCCCTCAATGTCTGTTGAAGTGATCGGTGTGTGTTTGTGTTTTACAGGAGAAGGAGGTGACCATCACCATGCCAAACGGGGAAACATCCGTGGCAACGGTTCGAATCTGGAACGAAACTGTCTCCAACCTGACTCTAATGGCTCTGGGCTCCAGCGCTCCGGAGATCCTGCTGTCTGTGATAGAGGTGAACATTATTCCTAAATCAAGTGTGTTGGTTTTGCATGTTTAAAGTACAGCGTTAATACAAAACTAATTTTGCCTAATTCATTTATATGATACTAAGTTCCTCCAGTGAGCTGGTGTTAATCTGCATGGTAAGATTTGAGGCACTTTGTAAATTGTTAATTTTAAAATAAATATTAAGTAAAGTTTCACCCAGAATGCCAACCAATCTGTGAACCGTTATCTCTTAAAACACATGTCTAACGGCTTTATCAGTTGACTAGGCATAGGATACAGATTTTCATCACACATCTGAGGTCCTTGAGTCCTTGGGAAGGACACACAAAAATGACTGGTAGAGCCTGTTTACAGCAGCCTTGCTTCTGTCAGCACGCCCCATGGCAGCTGTGGCTATAATGTATCAGACAACAAAGGATTCACTTCCACCGTTATGCTGATGATACTCAGATATATATTTGTCAATACATTCTGATAAGTGTTAATATGTGTGTGTGTGGTGTCAACTCTATAAACCAATGGTTGCTAAGTTCAACCCTGATAAGTGTTCATCTTTATATATCATTACAATTAAAAGTTAAACCATTTTCATAACTTAATTCTAAGTATGCATCATTTCTTCACAGGTGTGTGGTCACAAATTCGAAGCAGGTCAGCTTGGACCGGGCACCATTGTTGGAAGCGCCGCCTTCAACATGTTTGTGATCATCGGGATCTGTGTATGGTCGATCCCGGTTGGCCAATCGCGGAAGATCAAACACCTCAGGGTGTTCTTCATCACTGCCTTCTGGAGCATCTTCGCCTACATATGGCTCTACCTCATTCTGGCTGTTATTTCACCAAGCGTGGTGGAGGTGAGGCTGCCTGTTTGACCAAAAGCCCCCAAAAAAATTATCATTAACAATATTTTTATATATAAATTATATAGCAATATCCTCTATCCAGACCTCCTCAGGTGGCTTAGTCTTAGCTTCACCCAGTTTAAATGCTGTATATAATATTTAAGTGACCTTTTGAGATCCGATTAATAATGGCTTCATTAAAAAAAGAAAATTAACAGATTAATCAAATAGTAGAAAAAAAAAATTAATTGCAGCTCTACTTCTTATAGCTCTCATTCAATGTGTATCATATTGTAATGATGAACTGTGCTGATGAATGCACCTGGAGTACAGGTGGAAAATAAACATTCTTTGCTTCTGATTCTCCTCTGCAGCCCAGATGTGCAGGTTTTGACCATGCATGGATGGATTTTTGTTTTCATTTTTTTGTGCCATAGGTCTGGGAGGCCCTGGTGACGCTTCTGTTCTTCCCGGTTTGCGTCCTCCTGGCCTGGATCGCCGACCGCCGTCTGCTCTTCTACAAATACATGGGCAAACGCTACCGAGCCGACAAGCGCCATGGCATCGTCGTGGAAACCGAGGGGGACTTGACCCCTACCAAAGGCGGCATGGAGATGATAATGGATGGCAAGCTGCCACCCCGAGGAAGCGCAGTGGTCCCTGCTGAGAACGGCGGGGGCGGGGCTCAGGATGGCACGGCGGGCGCCACGGCGAACAACATCAGTGCTGCGGCGGGAGCCAGGGGCAACCTGCCAAACTCCAACAGCACCACCGTGAATGTGGAGAGCAGCAGGGAGCTGGATGAGAGCCGCAAGGAGGTTAGAAAAGCAGAGCTAAACTGAGGAGATGAGAGGAAGTTCAGTCAAACCTCTTCCTCCTGTTGACTCTGAAAGTGATGCCTGAACTATTTCTGTCGTTTTCTGCAGATGATTCGCATCCTGAAGGAGCTGAAGCAGAAATATCCTGACAAAGAACTGGACCAACTCATGGAGCTGGCCAACTACTACGCCCTGCTTCACCAGCAGAAGAGCCGCGCCTTCTACCGCATACAGGTACCATCACAAGGCTGTGATTAGATCATGAACTACAATAAGAAATTCATGATTCACATTTAATCAGCTCCCGATCAAATCAGTTTTATTCATGACTCCAGTTTAACTTGTCTTGTCTCCTCAAGGCGACCAGGATGATGATCGGAGCTGGAAATGTCCTGAAGAAGCACGCCGCTGACAACGCCCGCCGGGTGGTGGTGGCTGACGAGGAGGAGGATGAAGAAGATGACCTGGCTGTCTGCAGCCACATCTCCTTTGAGAGCGCCCACAGTCAGTGCATGGAGAACTGTGGCGTCCTCACTCTGGCTGTGGTCTGTCAAGGTAGTGACACCAGAAGGTTACAGATGAGTTCACATGGATAGACTGAAAGATTTCCCTTCTTAAGTTGTTCATCATCATTGAACTGAAATTTTGATCACGTTTTTGAGATTTTTTGGTTTCAAATAAAGAGAAATATTTTGCAAAATTGAACATGTCAGAAGAGACAAGATAAGAGATATGGAAGCTTTAAATTGCTTCCGTTTGCAGTATAATCTGGCTCATTTTGATCCAGCGTCTGGTTATATTTCCATTGTTTTTAAGTCTTAGATGTTTGCCTTGAGACATCATGTGTAGTTGGTCCCCAGATTGCCAGTCCTGTCAGAGGGATTCTGGTCCACTTGTCTAGACAGAAACACTCCAAGTCATTTTGGGCCTCTGTTTAAAAATTCAAAGCTGCAGCCTCCTCTTATTTTCTGTAGCACAGAGGTCTTAAGATGGCTAGAGCACACCAGGATTCTTCACTCCTTTTTCCTGGTGTGTGTAGTGAACCAAGTGTCTTGTGTCTAAGGCAGATCTGCAATGAACACAGAGTTAATGATAATACTTCCACCTCTGCTTTTAAACATCGGCATGGCACTCATTGAGAAAAACAGCTTACTCCTTCTTGAAGCATGGAGGGCTGATTTGATGCAACACAACTCGACTTTGTTCTCATCTGACTGCTGAACTTTCATTTATGCCTTTTCTGAACCACTTAAATCTTCGGCAGGAATATTTCAAAGTTTCTCTGTGTTTACCTTCCACAACAGGACAGTAAGATATTCCAATCTATTACCCTGTGCTCTTTAGAACTGCCTTTGGGTCATTAACTAGCTTCTCCTGCATAGTTATGAAGGCAGACTTAGGGGCACTGATGGTCATTTGCATCGATTGCATCAATAGTTGTCCCTGATGTCGTTGGACAGGCCGGTTTGTCTTCCTAACTGAGTTGGAGAGGATAAACTTTCCCTCATTGTTTGAAACATGAGCAGGAAATAAAACTGCCTGACCCAAAGATTTTTAAATCATTTTCAATCATTTTCAGCTAAACTTGGAGAAAGGGCAAGATTCCAATCATGGGAAGTTTTAGGTTTCTACTGTACAGTTCTCTCATTTGAGAATTTCTTGCAGATTCAGATTATTTCTATATATATATACTTAATCTGTTTGAAAGAGTTGATAAAAGGTTTCATTTTAGAACCCCCTGTAGTGTTGAATGAACCTCTCTTAGTCTCTGCCTTACTTTAAGCCTTGTTGCAGTGCTACTATCTGAGTGTTATCAGGCAGGTTGAAAGTCTTCCTCTATCAGGCTTCTTTGCCCTCTAAAGTTTTCCCCCTTGAAAATATCAATGTTGAGCATCCCAGCTCTACCCTGACAACCAGCATGCACAGATTCATGGGTGAGATTAAAGAAGGCAAAAAGATAATTCAGGAAAAAATAACCAGTTAGGAGTATAAACACTTGTATCTACTTGAGCTATAATAATTTAATGACCTTACTCCTAAATTAAGTAATTACAACACATGTGTTTATTCTGCAATGAGATGATAAAAAAAATCCAATGTTAATTTTTTAGCTCAAACTTTGTGGGAAAGAAAAATGCTCCAGTAAACCTGTAAATCATTTGATCTCTTTTAAAAAGTTAGGAGAAAATGTGGCTTGGCAGCACAGCTGATTTTCTGTTGTGTTTGTGGTGTTTAGGAGGTCTGGGAGAGAACACCTTCTACGTGGACTACAGAACTGAAGACGGTTCTGCCAATGCTGGGTCCGATTACGATTACAGCGAGGGGACACTGGTATTCAAACCCGGAGAGACTCGGAAAGAGATCAAGGTGAGATAAAATAAGGAAATAAGGACGGGGCAGAAAGAAAGTAACCTGACTCCCCCAGATGGATTTGCTCCACGTATGCATCTGGAAACCTTCCATTGAAGTCATTTTGGGAAGGGGCGAAAATACTGGTTAGCTGATTGGCCTATGTTGGTGATAGACGGGCCAAATAAACCAATCAGATGAACGAAGCATATGATGTACTAACAGCCAGGCTACTCTTGCCGAAACCAGTCGGGAGAAGAGCAAAAACATCTTTTCCTCTGAGAAAAGCCTCCAGAGCAGTGTTTTGCTCTTCTTTCAGTGAAGAAATACTGTGTAATTCCGATAAAACTTGCTCGATAGCCACGCTAACGCTAGTTTCATATGCTGAAGCCGCCATGTTCTTTAGACTGAACTGTCGCGCTTCTCGTTGCGTCACACCTCAACCCGCCTCAAAGCCAACGCTGGACGTTCGTTTGGTAAACGGCTCCAAATTTTCTTCAACGGAGAGACTCCAGACTGATTAGCGAGTGAAATCTTGAAAGCTCGCAAGATCAGGATGGTCTCACGAGGCTAGAAAGAAAGTCCTGAAAAAGAAAAAAAATGGTAAAACTCCATTTAGAACACAAATTAAAAAAGATATGACAAACAACTTTAATAAAACATATAAACATGAAAACATCTAAGTTGAAAATATAAAATCGATAATTGCTCTCAAAAAACAGTCAATATGAAAAATCCAGTCAAAAAAAAAAAAACAAATTTACTCCAAAAACCTGTCTTTGATAAAAAAAAAAATTAAAGTTTCATTACTGGATTGATTTTTTTTTTTTATTTTTATGTACAGATGTATTCCATCTTTGCAACAATAATGGAACAAAGTTTCCTCCATAATAAACGAGCAGCTGTTTTTAAGAGTTTATAGAATTATATAAATTAACTACTGCCACTATTTGAACATGTAACTAAATACTGATGGTCAAAACACTGGAAATAAAGCCTGTTTCATAGACCTGCAGAATGCATGTGATGTAGACACAGAGAGAGGCTGTGCATTGCTGCAGGATCTGGGCTTTACATCATGGAGGTGCGTACACACCATTGCGAGCTTCAGAAAAACCTGCAGGGTGGCTGCAAAATCTAGGAAGTTGTGAAAGATGATCAAAGTGAAAGGAAGAGAGGATGAGGAGATTCATGATGAGAGTCCCAGCAGGGGAGCCGGAGAGATGCAGAAGGAAACAGAAGGAGAGATACGACAAGAGAGTAAAAATTGACTGAAGCGTTTATAGAAATGGATGAAAGACATAAACTTTTATGGTGTTAGAGAAAGTCTAGATGCATGATACTGTAGTATAGTTTAATGTTTTAATTAACCTTAAATTAACAAACATATTAGAGAAGGCCTGTTAGACAACATAATAATGCCTGATAAATAGATTAGAATAAACCACATGCTGTAGCTTCCCATGTTACTGACCTGTGCTATAAGATGCAAGTTAATGCCACTCAAGTTAAAACAAACTGGTGTTTTCTTTGGCATCAGGTGTTTCTGATTGACTCTAATTTTTGTCGTCAGCTCTAAATGAATCTCTGGCTCCTTTAGTGCTTCTGTAATAAAATGCCATTCATCAGGATTTCAATGAGTGGATCTAAACTTAGCTGGAGCTGCTTGTTATCTGGCTAAATGAGGAGCCCCGTCATTTATGACACAGCATGTGAGCAGATGCTGCTCTGTTAGGGAGAATCAAACAGAAGAGCGTCTGCTGAGGAGGCCTTATCAGGAAGTCAGAGGCAGTTTCATCATAACTGAGCAAGTTTAAGATGACAAAGAGGTTCTGAGGCAGCAGGAGTCATAATCCTGTGGTATTTGGGTTTTGATTGTCTTTTGCTCTTTATTCTTGGTAAAGTTTTGCTGTATATTTTTAATGCTTTTTGTTTGTTTCTTTTATTTTTGTGCTCTTTTTTCTTTTCAGAATGTTTATCACTGTTTGTCTTCTTTTCTTGACAGTATCTGTGAGTTCTAGTTCTGCTTATTCTAATTAGTTAGTCTACCTCCTTTAGCTACCCTGCCTTCTGTCTGAGCTGGTTTTACTCAGTATATATGCTCACCTATTCTCACTGTTCTCGGCTGGATTTCTTTGTTTGTCAGCTGTTCTATTTCTGTTGATTCTCTAAATGTAAAACCACCTTTAGTAACTTTTTTATGTATTACAGAACTTGATTGCACCTCTGCATGTCTCTGCATTTGAGTAGATTATCCAGATCAAAGGATTTATCCTTTGAAGCCGAATCCAATTTGAGACTCGGACTTGGATGAAGTCCCAAAAGTTAAAAGCCTTACTGTGTTAAATGTTTGAGATTTGACTTCGATTCCTGTTCTGAGACTCACATCATCGTAAGGTTTTTATCGTCACGTGAAGGGTTACAAGGAAGAACTAAAGCAGCTGAAATGTGGTACTGTGAAAGGGGAGCTCAATTATTAGCCAATGACTTTGGTGGATTATTATGGGATGCTAATAATGCATAATCTGTCCATCTGTAGATTCATAATAACGACTTTGGATAATTTCAGAACAAAATAAATATAATGTATCTCTCTCTGCTAACCTACCAGCAACAGTACAAACTTACAGCTGGAGATATCAAAATAAAATTGCCTCCTATTTTGTAATTCAGAACTTTAACTCAAATAAATTACTAACTAGATTTTTTCTGGTTTATTTTGTTGTGATTTATACCATAAAACTGAGCATTGTTAATACTAAGAGGGTCATAGAATGATTATAAAAGGTATTTGGTGCTGGTCCTGACGCTCTCTGAATAGGGTGTTTAACATTGGTTGGGCAAACCTGGTTAAAAGCCCTAGAATAAAAGGTTTAGACTGAGTGAAGCTGCTGACCAAAGACGCATCATAGCAACAAGCACTCACTCACTGAAACATCCAAATTGTTGATATGGTAGGGTGACCAGATGTCCTCTTTTTCCCGGACATGTTCTTCTTTTCATACCTAAAAAATGTCCAGGGGAAATTTCAAAATTGTCCGGGATTTTGGTCGACTACAGTGCAGCAGAACCGAACCGTGAGCTACGGGGCTGGTCCGGGAACACCGGCGGAAGGGGGCAGAGAGCCAGCGGAGAGTGACCAAACCCGACCCTGTGGTGCTAGCCTGGACACAGGCGCCCAGTGCTTTCCCCCGCCTGCCTTATCGGCCCCCAGCCCCCCCTCCTCTGGCTGAGGACGGGCGGCTAATGGCTCTCTGCTGAGGTCCGGTCCAGTCAGCGGCTCAGCAGTCAACACTTCATACCTGCCCCCCTGGGGCGTGACCAAAGTCCAGGCCAGAACCAAATAAGGTTACATCCCCACATTTATGTCAATTTGGAGCTTCGCTTAAATTCGCCCGTTTTATGGTGGAAGTTTAGAACTGTGAGATTTGCAGAGAAAGGATGTCGATCGTGATTGAACTTCTCTGTACGTCCATTTCATCCACTGAACTGTAGTTGTTCATCTCTGACAATGTAAACTCAGTTTTGCATTCTATGACCCCTTTAAAATAAAAATTATCTTTAGAATATTGTTTCCCAATAAAACTAGAACTTCTCAAGCTAAAACTGGGGAGGAGAAAAACCTCTAAATTACATTAAGTCCAATACATGAACCGTACAAAATAATGTGAGAATGTTCCTATAATCATGTGTTAACTTAGTCATTGCAGGGAATTAAAAGGAGAAATTTTTACTAGTTTAAATTTATTTCAGTTGTTTTGTAGAGTTTTGTTTCATATATTTTTATATATATATTTTTATATTTCTAATTTTTTTCTATTTTATTTTCTAACATAACTTTGGATGCTGAATCATTAACAATAACTTATTAAAAGCATAAATGATAAATCATTAAAATCTAAGGGAGAATTTAGGCTCAAAGAGAACAGGTTTAAACTTCTGACCTGCTAAATTGGCCTGAATGTTCTGGATTTTAGGAGATAAGAGACTTTAAACATGAATGAAAAACCTAAACTTGTAATTTATAAACATCTGGTTTATTTAAATAGGTTAGACAAGAGTAAGGAGTTTGTTGAGGGTTTATTCTTAGATTTAGATAGTAATATCTAAGATGACGGGTTTTAAATCCCATTAACTTAGTAGTCCAGAGTAGCAGTCGCTATAAAAAGAAAACAACAAGTCACTATACAGCCAATATCAGTTATTTATAACCTCTGAAACTTTACTGAAAATTAAAGTTTTGTACCATCAAAAGTTCAGTCTTTTCTGCATCGTTAAACTTCCACCTCCATGCCTCTGTAGGTTGGAATAATTGACGACGACATATTCGAGGAAGATGAGCACTTCTTCGTCCGTCTGCTCAACCTGAGGGTCGGTGACGCCGAGGGGATGTTCGAAAGCGATGAGGTGGGCACCGCCCCCAAAGCTCGCCTGGTTGAGCCCCTGGTTGCCACGGTGACCATCCTGGACGATGACCACGCCGGCATCTTCACCTTCAGCGAGCGCATGGTGCGCGTGAGCGAGAGCGTGGGCACCATGGAGGTGACAGTGGTGCGGAACTCAGGAGCCCGAGGCACCGTCATCCTGCCGTACCACACCGTGTCGGGCACCGCCAAGGCGGGGGACGACTACGAGGAGGCGAGGGGGGAGCTGGAGTTCACCAATGACCAAACCACGTGAGTCCAATTAGTTTTTATCAGATTCACAGGAGGAGGAGGGTCCACAAGCTCTGCTTCCTACTGCAGAATGCTGTTACTGTATCAGGGACTGGCATCATGCTGTTTATACTAAAGGACCAGTATTTACAGCCTTTATACAGCAAGAATGTCAGGTTTGTGGAGGTTAGATGAGGACTCAAGTGCAGAGATGGAGGCAGCTGATGTTTTAGAGATTTAATAGTGGAAATGGCACTAAAACAGTACAAATCAGGAGTGGACAGGCACAGCAATCAGACCAGGGAGTCGGTCATTGACAATAAAAGCTAGATGTTCTAGTTCTAACACTTCAGTTCCTCTTCTTGCTATAACACTGAATATTTGATGCTCAGCAGGCTAAAAGTCCTGAAAATCATTTTTCCCATTAAGGTTTCACACCTCTGCATGTTAACTTTAAATGTTAAAACAATAAGATATTTCTGTTGAAATAACTTTCAACATCCCTGCTCTGTGTTTTATGCCTACAACAATAACATGCAGGTTTTGCAAGCTGAGTTCGTTGTTTTGCTTGTTTCTTCCTCTGTTCTGAACCTCCTCTTCAGCCCTGCCTGTCCCCCGGTCAGACCCCTGCTGTCTCTATCCTAACCTTTGTTGCTGCCAGACAGCCGTCTCATCCATTATTAATCAAAGCTGACTTAAGGGAAGTCTCTGCACAGGTTGGAGGAACCCTCACAGAGTTTGACTTTATATTGAATGTTGGCTGAATGAGTGATGATAGAGCAAATCCTGAGGAATCTTATTGTAAAAATGCTGCCAATTCCTCCTGAATAAATCAACTAAACATAGTTTTTAAAATATTTTTTCAATGTAGGATATGGGCAGTGCAAAGAAATACAAATCTGTGTCCAAGCTGTTAGTCCCCAGGTACATACAGTATCCTAGTGAAAGTGAGTCAGAAAAGTTTAAAAGTAAGCCAGAAAAGGTTCAATGCTCAGATGTTCTGTTTAAAAATGTTTAAAAAGCAGCTTTAAGAAGACTGACTCTAACTGCCATGAGAAATATTTATACTTTTTGCTGTTTTGGCTGGATGAAGCCACCGCTGCAGGATCTAGCACACATCATTTACCCACAATGCATTGCAGCATAAACAACAACAATCCGTGTAACTATAATTTATTTCAACTGATTAAGATAAAACTGCTTACAGTATTTTAAAGTTGTTGTTTTTACATTGAAAATAAATATTTATCAAATAAAGTCTAGTGTTACAGCTAGTGTTAACTTAGGGTGAAGTCTTGTGTTACAGCTAATCATGTAATTTAACAGAGAGCATTTGGTGGATATAGGAGAAAAATCTGGGAAAAACCTTTTCAGTCTGTAGTTCCTGTTATTGTCCTCAGCAGAGATTCATCATTAGAACAGCTTTATTTCCTTTATCTTTTATTTCTGATTAGTTGCATTGCTTTGGGCATAGAAGCCTGTAGGAGCTGTCCATGGTGCTAGAATCGTATGTGATTATACTTATGGAACATCTGTTAAATGGTTAAAGAAAAAAAAATAATGCTACATTGAGAATGTATTTTTCTCTCAAAAGAACAGACCATCCATAAACAAAATGTAAAATTTTATTGCTACCTAAGAGGCATTAGGTGTTGAAATCAACATCAGAAGCCAGTGTCTTCTCCCTACCTATCTCTCTAGAGGTCATTTCTTGACACCGTTTAGTTTACTTTCAGCTTGTATGAGTATTTCTGACCTTCTGCGCATTAGAGGAAGGCTCCACTATAATTTGAAACTTATGTATCGAGTTCTTATTTGTAACGATAGCTAAAGTCGTATCTTCCCCTGCTCATCCTCGCCTTTGTTTCATCTGATCGGCTGATTTCTAGAATTTCTTCACCAAATATCTGCTCAGGATGACTCAGCTCTGATTGAAGCTATCCATCTGATTTCCACTTTCACATACACTCACCGGCCACTTTATTAGGTACACCTGTCCAACTGCTCATTATCTAAGCAGCCAATCACATGGCGGCAACTCAGTGCATTTAGGTATGTAGACATGGTCCAGACAATCTCCTGCAGTTCAAACCGAGCATCAGTATGGGGAAGAAAGGTGATTTGAGTGACTTTGAACGTGGCATGATTGTTGGTGCCAGAAGGGCTGGTCTGAGTATTTCAGAAACTGCTGATCTACTGGGATTTTCACGCACAACCATCTCTAGGGTTTACAGAGAATGGTCCGAAAAAGAAAAAACATCCAGTGAGCGGCAGTTCTGTGGGCGGAAATGCCTTGTTGATGCCAGAGGTCAGAGGAGAATGGCCAGACTGGTTCGAGCTGATAGAAGGGCAACAGTGACTCAAATAACCACCCGTTACAACCAAGGTGTGCAGAAGAGCATCTCTGAACGCACAGTACGTCAGACTTTGAGGCAGATGGGCTACAGCAGCAGAAGACCACACCGGGTGCCACTCCTTTCAGCTAAGAACAGGAAACTGAGGCTACAGTTTGCACAAGCTCATCGAAATTGTACAATAGAAGACTGGAAAAACGTTGCCTGCTCTGATGAATCTCGATTTCTGCTGCGACATTCGGATGGTAGGGTCAGAATTTGGCGTTTACAACATGAAAGCATGGATCCATCCTGCCTTGTATCAACGGTTCAGGCTGGTGGTGGTGGTGTCATGGTGTGGGGAATATTTTCTTGGCACTCTTTGGGCCCCTTGGTACCAATTGAGCATCGTAGCAATGCCACAGCCTACCTGAGTATTGTTGCTGACCATGTCCATCCCTTAATGACCACAATGTACCCAACTTCTGATGGCTACTTTCAGCAGGATAATGCGCCATGTCATAAAGCTGGAATCATCTCAGACTGGTTTCTTGAACATGACAATGAGTTCACTGTACTCAAATGGCCTCCACAGTCACCAGATCTCAATCCAATAGAGCATCTTTGGGATGTGGTGGAACGGGAGATTCACATCATGGATGTGCAGCCGACAAATCTGCGGCAACTGTGTGATGCCATCATGTCAATATGGACCAAACTCCCTGAGGAATGCTTCCAGCACCTTGTTGAATCTATGCCACGAAGAATTGAGGCAGTTCTGAAGGCAAAAGGGGGTCCAACCCATTACTAGAATGGGGTACCTAATAAAGTGGCCAGTGAGTGTATTTTGCACAATCACTCTCTCCGCTGTCTTTGCCGAGTTTCCCCTGTGGCTGTTGACCTGTTTTAAACTCCCTTTGCCTCCCTCCTTTCCTCCTCCTCCATCTCACTGCTGACTGTCAATGAAGGTTTCCCTCCAGGAATCTGCTCTCTGACGTGACATTTTATGTTTTCTTATCATTACTTCCCCTGACTTCCTCTTGTCTAATGGCGGCCATCAACACTCATGTCTTTTAAATATCTGACATCATTACAGGATAATAGCTGCTGTGTCTCGTCTCTCGTAAGATCTGCCAACGGGGGAGAACAAAAACCTCCGTGTGTAGTTATTGGAATATTTACCATAACCTTTTCTGTCTTCTAGGATCTATTTTTTACTCTGTTATTGATTCTTTGTCCTTCCATTTTACTCTGCTCCAATCAGCACAGCAGCTGCCTGTGATCAGAGACAGCAGGAGATGGAAACCCAGCTCTGCTCAGAGCATGGACCATTTTCACTCTGATAACGAGGAGCAACCTGCAGCGAGCGACCTGCTAGCTCTGCGTCATCACTTAATGAGAGGTTTTCATTGTATAATGAGTCTGACTTTTTACCTGTGTGTGTGCAGTCAGATCCTCCAGGTGAGGATAATCGATGATGAAGAGTATGAAAAACGCGAAAACTTCTTCATCGTGCTAGAGGAGCCACGCTGGTTAAAGAGAGGAATCTCTGGTGAGACACTTTTTGATTTATTGGATTTCCTCCTGTTCGCTGGGGAACTTTTATATGCTCATGGTGTTATGAAATATTCAGTCTGAAAAGCGTCAGAACATTTTATTTTATTTTTTCTTTTAGAAAAAGCACAAAAAACGTCCTGATTCTTAGCCCTTAATAAGGTTTGTGACTGGTGTACTGATAAAATGCAGAATTTCTGACAGTTCTCTTCTTGATTGATGAATCATGTTAATATTAGTGTCTCACAAAATTACAAAAGAACAGTGGGAACTTTCCTTAACAACCTCTGATAGTTTTGTATAGGCCTTATCTTTTAATATTTTCTTCATAATTTTTCCGGGATTCCAAAAGTTTTTCTACGTTGATTGCTCTGTTTGTTGACCATGGCCCCTTCTTACAATAATCCTACCACATATATTTAGGGTTATCCCATTCTTCTTACCATAACTCTCTTAGACAGTGTCAGCATTCAGTTACAGACTAGAAGACCATAACACCAACGTGGCAGGGTCCTAGTTCCATGACATGATAAGCATGGCCAACCATGCCATAACATTTTTTAAACCAAGATATATAGTTTAAGTATCCTTGTCATCACACTTGACTTCACTTCACTGAACTGCTGCATCAACAATGAACATAGATTCCTCATCTAAGAGTTGCAGAATGCCATCCCTTAAGGGCCGCTGCTCAAAAGATGAAATTCGCCCTCACTGTGTTTCAGTAGAAGTGGACGATGTTGTGACCTAAGAGTATCCCAGAACCATGACCCTGTAAAGGGCATCTGGGTGACTTTTTAAGGGTGCAGTATTGGTTTCAGTTAATGTAAAGTAACGCTAAATGATCAGGAGCTGATCCTTAAGTTTCTAAATAACGACCATTGCACATTTTTGTCTTTATTTTTTTGCGACGTGCAATATGTTAGCGTGTTCCAAGTGATCTACAAATATTGCTGCACAAATGTAAGGATGCACAAACAGATTTGGTTCCACATATTAATACATTGACCAGATTACAGGTTCTACAGGTTTGAGAGTGGCTGTAAAGATGAGGTTCTAAGCCATGTAGCTGGAGGTTATTATGCTGATTATTAAAATTAATGATATACCAAAGAAAACCATCAAAAAGACTGAAGAACTATAAATACAAACCTCTTTATAACCAGACGGTATGGCAGGAACAGCTAAGAATTTGGGAGATTATATCCTTCCTTTTAAATTTGTTCAAAAGTTTTCAAACTGGACCATTCTTTTTTTTTATCATGGTTTAAATCAAATTTAATAAATGACCTTGTTAGAAACAAAAAGGCTGATTGGAAGTGAGCTTTAGATGTCTCCCTTTTTAGATTTATTTATACTTTTTCTTATACTGTCCCAGTTCTTATTCCCTGGTCCTCTTCTCTATTAGACTGGCTATACAGTCATTTTCTTTCAACACAATATGATTCTAATACATTAGTTTATTTTTTCATATTAAAAAAAATATTTAAAAAAAGTCATTTTAACATTTCAGGATTTTCCGGCTTTATTAATTTCCATTGTCTGAGAGCAATAGCTGTAAAACAGGAAAACTTGAAGCGCTTAAGATTATTATTTTTTTTTGGATTTATTGTCATTTTTTAAAGTTTAAACTTTTTATACAGGTGGATTTTTTAAGAGAATCTTTAACTGATGACTTTTCTGTTTTTTTTTTTTTCCTCAGCACTGCTGCTCAACCAAGGTAAGAGCTTCTGAATCTTCCTTCTGAAGGTTTAAACCTCATTAGATTTTTCAGGAAATGCATGTTTGACTTAATCTTCTAATTATTTCCGTATCAACTGTATTATATTCATATAGAATGTCAGAAACACGATGAAAGAGGCTCTCTGCCGTTTTGAAAGGCTACAGATTAGATTTGCTTCATGTCCTCCGTTGTATTCTGTCTGCACCCCAGCCCCCCAAAAAATCCACATTAAATCTGGTAAGACTGGCCTAAATATGCAATTATCAAAAGAGAAAGACATTTTTCTCAGATTAAAGGGGCTCGATGATGAATTCAGACTGACTCAGCTCTCTTTCCTCCTGTTTGAACCTTCATCTGGATGTTAATTGGATCCAATTTTACACTTCTTCTTTGGGCTTTGGGCTTTTCTAGCAGTTTCTCAGGTTTCCTGCTCAGTCAGGTCTCTCCCTTTGGTTCGCTCTTCTCGTCATCACTTAAACCTTTCCACTAAAATGAGCATGAAATTCGTCTGCTGCCATTTCAGTTTCACAACACAAACCTGGAGCCATTGATGTAATGAAGCCCAGGTTGGGATTAGTGTACAGTATAAAAAAATTAGTAGTGTTGAAAAGAAAGGAATATATATACATGTTATTTAATGATAACAGTTATCGGCCATGACATTAACTTTAATATTGGATAGTGATATTGTGAATATGAGCAAATATTTATACTTTCTTACATTTTTTCTTTATGATGTCTGCATAAGTTTTAGAAAGTCTTATAACTACATTTTTGAGCTCATTTTTTTCTTCTTAACATTGGTTTAATACAGAATATGCACACATATACACACCATATTTCTGACCTTTTTTCCCTCTTTTTTTAAAAAGAAAAGTTTTATAAACATTATACACTTATGAACATTAAAAAAACTTAAGTATGCTTTAAAGTTTTTTACTTTGTTGCAACATCCTTATTTGTCAAAAAAAAAAGATTGACAGATTTTTTTTAAGCAGTCCAAAAGTAGGAAGTCAGATTCAGAAATATCTTCTGTGATTTGTGGATTCTTTAAGACTCCTGTTTGAGCAACAAAAGGTCATATATGTTCAGATGTTGAAATAAAAACAAAAAACTGAAGAATAAAAACTCTGGGGGAGTTTGGATTGTTAAAATTATGAAATATGTAGGAACCTCGTGAAGTTATGGAATGCAAACATCTTCTCTTTCCAGAGTTTCTGCAGTAATAAATAATTTTTTGTTAGCTCCAGTGTGCCAATATTATAGGTAAGAGTACCCAAAAATTGTATTAAAGTAAGAGTAGCACTACTTTAACAACTTTTTCCTCAAGTAAAAGTAAAACATTAATTCAAAAGGCTGCTTGAGTACTGAGTCACTGTTGGACACTAACATCAGATTTATTGTCTATAAATGATGCTGGCAAACAGACTGTATGTACTAATTCTGGTATTTTAAAGATTAAAATACCTAAATAATACAAATAAATGTCATTAATATATAAGAAGAAATGTGTGCAGAAGAAATACTTTTAACATTTATAATTACACAAAAAACTATGAAAACCAACCTGTACAATGTGAACTGTAAATATATTAGGATAAGGTGACGAACTTCCACTTTTAATATTTATTTACTGTATGTTTTGTTATGGTTCTTATTTGTTGTGACTCTGAGTTTTCAGTTTTCTGTTATCAGTTGTTTTGTTTTTATTTTCCATGATCTTCAAGCATTCTTTATTTACTCTCTGTTGCCCCCTTGTGATTGCTTTCTTTCCCCTTGGATTCCCTCTTGCCAGTTCCACCCACACCTGCTCCCCATTCAGCTCGTTAGTCCATCCTTTGTTTTGTTCTCCTTAAATACTCCACCTCTGCAGTCACTCAGTGCTGGTTCCTTCTCGTTGCTGCATTGTCTAATCTGCTCGTCTCTCCCCGGCTCCTCAGACTCGTTTTTTCCCCTGATGTCTCCATAGTTTTGGTTTGTTTCATATTTTAAGTTGGGTTTTTGGATTTCTGCCTCTGCTATATTTGGTCTGCCATTAAACCTCTCAGAACCCCATCCCCTGCCTTTTTTTCACTCCCGCATCTTGGGGCCCTTTGAGCAAAACCCCACCACCCCATTGTTGACTGTTTTTCATGATTTTGGAATAGTTCTAATTTCTCTCTTGCAGAACAGAGTAGTCTACTCAAGTATAAGTAGCAATACTTTAAAAGAATATTTCTCAAGTAAAAAGTACGGTACAGCAAACCTAGTCCCAAAAGTAAATCATTTTCAAATTGTTACTCAAGTAAATGTAAACCCAATTACTACCCCAAACCCCTTGGGGGTTTTTTTGTCAGGTTTGTTTATTGAAAAAAATAAAAAAGCCAAAACCTTATGTCAAAATTTAAAAAATTCAAGAAACCTAGAAGGGACCCAACATTTTTTTCTTCCCATCGCTTTTTGGTTTAGGGCCTTGAAAAAAACTGGGGTCTTTTTGTCTGGAAATTGAGGGCACAAATGCTTAAAGGGCAGAAAAAAAAAAACCAAAAGCAAAATTTTAGAAAATATCCTGTTGCAAATTATTTAAAAAAAAAATCAAAGCAAAAATTTTTTTGGGGCCGGGGGAAAAAAGGGGCCCCTCATTCCTTTTTTTTTTAAAATAAATAATAAAAAAAATTCCAGGGTTTTACTTTTACCCCTCGGCTTAAAAAATGAAACACCCAATGGTATTCAAAAATGGATCGGGGGGGAAAATGGTTTTTTGGGTTGAGCGTTTAAATCCAAAGGGGGGGCTAAATTTTTAAAAAATGAAAACTTCGTTTTGGAGGTATGGGGGGGGGGGGAAACATTAGGGGGGCCACCTGGGAAAAGGAAAAAAGGGGTTGGGGAATTCCTTCTTAAAAAATTTAAATAAATGTTTTTAAACAAACACTGAAACGGGGGAACCTTTAAAAAGAAACTCCCAACTCCCCCCCTGGTGATCATAAACCCTTTTTTCCTTTTTTATAACCCTGACTTTGGGGGGTTTTATTTTAAAAATTTTAAAGGGGTGGGGGGTTTTGGTTGGTTGGCAAATGGACCATAAAACTTAACTGGGGCCTCCAGAATGAAAAGTTTGGGCTGAATACGGGGAATTTTGGTTTACGCGCAGCCAGTCCTTTGGCTGCAGGTTTCTATTTTTGGCCCCCCTCAGGAGGCATTTTCCCCCTTTCCGGCTCTGTTCTTTTTACGTCCCCATAGGGGGTTTTTTTTTCTTTTTTTTTCTAAGATTTTGGAACTTTTTTTCCTTAAAAAACCCCTGAAACAAACAAAACCCTTGGTTGGGGGGGAAAAAGGGGGGAACATAAAAGCTAAACAAATTTTTCTGGAAGGTTTTGGGGTTTTTTATTTAAAATCGTTCGGGTGAAAAAAAATTTTTTTTTTTAATTAATTTTTGGGGGGGTTTTTTTTGGAAATAATATTTATAACCCATTCCAAATTTATTTTCCCCCAAAATTTTCCAAAAAATTAAATTTTATAAAACCCCCTTTTGGCCCCAAAAATTTTTGTTTAATTTAAAATAAAACCCCCATAAATAAATTTTTTATCCCTAATGCAACCATTCCCTAACCTCTACCTAAATTAATATAAAATTAAAAATAATTAATAAAAATATTAAAAAATAAAAATTATAGGAAAAATATTAAAAAATAATATTTAAAAATAAAAAATTAAAACTATTATAAAAATTATATAAACCAAAAATTATCCCCTCCAAAAATATAAAAATTAAAAATTAATATAAACCAAAATAAATTTTAATAAAAATAAAAATTATGAATGAAAAATATAAAAACCCTAATATTAAAAATAATTAATTATAAGAATAATTAAAAATTAATTTTAAAATTTTTTTATAAAAATTATAAAACCTACTAAACCCTATTAAAAATTAAAAATAAACCAAAATAAAAATCCATTAATATAAACCTTCCTAATGGATAAAAAATTAATTAAAACCCCCCAAAAATTAATTTATTAAAATCCCCCCATGAAAATATAAAACTGATAAAATTTTAAATAAAAATATATTATTATTAATAAAATAAAAATTATAAAAAATTACTAAAAAATTTTTTAATCTATCCCCCCCAAAAATTTTAAAAATAAAATACCCTAAATAACCCCCTTTTCCTAAAAATAATAAATATAATATTAATCCCCCCCCTTAAATCCCAAAAATTATAAATTATTCCCTATAATAATCCCTAACCACTCAAATAAATAATCCTCCCTTCCCTCCATCCATCTTCCAATTCATCCTACTATCCAAACCATCCATCCTACCTTCATCCCCACTTTCCATCCATCCATCCCTCCATCTTTCCCCCCAAACCAAATATCCCCATCCCTCCCAAAATTTCCTTTTTTCCCTTTCCCAAAATTCCCTCCACCAAACCATCCATCCATTTTATCTTCTACCACCATCCATCCATTTTTTCCCACTATCCATCCTCCTTTCATCTATCCTCCCTCCTACTTTATATATTTTTTATTCCCTCCACCACCTATCCCCTTTTTCCATCCCCCTACTACTTTCAACCCAATCCCACCTTTCTATCCAAACCAAAACCTTATCCATCCATTTCCCCTTTCCATTTCCCTCCTTTCCCCCATCAATTTTCCTTTAAATTCCAAACCCTTCCATCCCCTTCAAACCCACTATCCCTCCATCCCTCCCCCATTCACCTACATCCATCCCAAACCCATTCATCTATTTCCCTCCATCTTAAATTTCCATCTATTCATCCCTCCATCCATCCATTATCCACCATACTACTATCCATCCATTTCCCTCCTACTATCCCCCTCCAAACTATTTCCTCCATCCTACTATCCAAAACCCATCCTTTCTATCCATCCAAACCATCCAAACCCATCCTTTCTATCCATCCTAAATATCCATCCCTCCCAAATATCCTTTCCCTCCACCCCTCCATCCATTCATCCTACTATCCATCCATCCATCCATCCATTCATCCTACTATCCATCCATCCATTCATCTATCCATCCATCCTACTATCCATCTATTCATCCATCCATCCATCCATCTATCCATCCATACTACTATCCATCCATCCATCCTACTATCCATCCATCTATCCATCCATCCATCTATCCATCCCCCCTATAAACCATCCATCCCCTCCAAACCATTTTTATCCCACATCCAACCACCATTCATCTATCCCAAACCCTCCAAATTTCCATCCATTCATCCACCCTCCATCCCATTTTCCATCCCAAATACTATCCTCCATCCCCTCCCACTATCCATCCCCTCTATCCATCCATCCCACTATTTCCCTCCAAACCCTCCATTCCTTCATCTATCCATTTCCCCCTTTTACTATCCAATTTTCCCCTCTAAACCCTCCATCCTTTCTATCCATCCCCATCTATCCATCCATCTATCCATCCATCCCCACATCCATTCCCATTCCATCCATCCCATCCATCCATTTCCCACTATCCCCCATTACCCCTCCATCCTAATATCCATTTCCCTCCATCCATCTATCCACCCATTAAATACCCTTCCCCTCCCCCTTTAACCCCCGCATCCATCCATCCCTATCCCTCCCTCCAACTATCCAAACCATCCATTCCCTTTTATCCCTCCATCCTACATCCATACCCCCCCCTCCAAAAATATATCCCCTCCATCCATCTATCCATTTCCCTCCATCCATCCATTTTTTATCCATCCATTTTAATATCCCTTCCCCTCCATTTCCCACCAAACCACCCTCCATGCATCCATCCCCTCCTTCTTCACATCCATTCCTGCATCCTTCTATACTCCACCCTCCATGGGATTCCCCCCTCCATCCCTTTCCCCCCTCCCACCCCCCCATCCCTCATTTATCCATCCATTCTACTATCCCAAACCCTCCATCTACCCATCCATCCTTCCCAAACCCTCCCCCCCACCCCTCCATCATTCTATCCCCATCCATTTATATCCATCCCTGAAAATCCCATCCTTTCCCTTTTATCCATTCCCCTCCCTCCCCCATCCATGAAATTTTTACCCCAACCCTTTTTTCCATCCATCCCATCATCCTACTTTCCATCTTTCCCTCCTACTACCATCCAACCCCTATCCTTCCCAAACCTTCTATCCTTTCCCCCATCCCCCATCCCCCCAAAGCATTTTATTCCCCCCTCCTTCTATCCAGCCCCTCTTTTCCCTTTATCCATCTTTCCCTTACTATCCATCCTTTCCTTTCCTCCCTCCTTTTTAAAACCCTCATTTATAACCATTTCCTTCCCTTTTTATCCTTTCCTTGCATCTATCCATCCCTTTCCTTACTTTCTATATCCCAACCCAAAAATCCCTTTCCCTCCTTCTATAACCATCCATAAACCTCCCTTTTTTTCCCCCAGGGAAAACCCTTAAACCCTCCTTCCTTCTACCACCAATCCATTTTAACCCCCCATTTCCTTTCTTTTAACCTCCCCCCATCCACTACCACCCCTCCACAACCTTTGCATCCAAACCTTACCTTTAACCACCTTTCCCCTATCCATCCATCCAAATTTCCCCCATTAATTAACCATCCCCATCTAAACCATCCATCCCCACTATTTCCCTCCCCTCCCATCCAAACCATCCCTTCATCCTACAAACCCCTCCATCCAAACCATCTTTCCAAAAAATCCCACTAACCCTCCATCCAAACCCTTCCATCCCTCTATCCTTCTATCCAAACCAAATATCCATCCCTTTCCCCAAATTTATCCCCCTTTTTCCATCCCTCCCCTCCATTCATCCTACTTCCCTCCATCCATTCATCAAAAATCCATCCCATATCCATTTTATTTTCCAACCATCCATTCCCTCCATCCCATCCATCCATACTTTTATCCATCCAAACCATCCCCTATCCATCCAAACTATCCATCCATCCAATATCCCTCCATCCCTCCTTTAAACCATTCCCTCCTACTTTCCTTTTCCTCCAACCATCCACCATTCATCCCTTTTTAAATATTTTATCCACCCATCCATCCTTTTCATCCTACTATCCATCCCTCCCTTCAATTATCCATCCTTTTTAACTATCCATCCAAAATTAAACCCTCAAACCACCATCTATCCATCCCCTACTACTATCCTTTCCTCCTTTCCTACAAACCTTTCCCCCCCACCATCCTCCTACTAACCCCCCAATCCTCTATCCATCCATCCCTCCATCTTCCAAAATTTCCCATCCACTAACCATCCATCCATTTCCAAACCCTTTACCTACATCCATCCATCCATCCAAACCCCTTTATCCTAATTTTCATCCATCCCCTTCAACTAAACCTTCCTTTCCCAAATAAACCCCTCTATTCATCCTCCATCCATCCAACCATCTATCCATCCCCAAAACTTCTTTTTAACCCCTCCTCCTACTATCCCCCCCATCTATCATCCATTTCCCTCTTTCCATCCAAACCTACTGTCCATCCATCCATCCCTCCAAATTTACCCACTTTTCCATCCTCCAAATTATCTATCCAAAACCATCCTACTATCCCTCTTGTCTTTTCCTTTCCCTCCATCCTTTTTTTCCCTTAATTTTACTACCATCCATCCATCCTTCTTTCCATCCATCTATCCATCCAACCCCTATCCCTCCCCCTTCCCTTCCCCTTCTCTATCCTCCATCCTACTATCCATCCAAACTATCCCCCATCCTTTTCTATCCATTCCCTCATCCATCCATCCATCTACCATCCATCCCACTAAACCATCCATCCATCCATCTATCCAAACCCTCCTACTATCCTTTAAACATTTAAACCCTCCCTTTCTACCATCCATCCATCCCTCTAAACCACCCATCCTACTAACCATCCCTCTATTCACCCATGCATATCCCTCCAACCATCTATCCCTCCATCCAAAATTCCATCCATCCATCCATCAAACCATCCATTCCCCAATCCACCATCCATCCATCCATCCATATATCCATCCATCCATCTATCCATCCATCCATCCATCTATCCATCCATTCTACTATCCATCCATCCATCCATCCATCCTACCATCCAGCCATCCATGCATCCATCCATCCTTCTACACATCCATTCCTGCATCCTTCTATACATCCATCCCTCCATGCATCCATCCATCCTTCCAACCATCCACCCACCCATCCATCATTCTATCCATCCATTCTACTATCCAACCATCCATCTACCCATCCATCCTTCCAACCATCCACCCACCCATCCATCATTCTATCCATCCATTCTACTATCCATCCATGCATCTATCCATCCATCCTTCTATCCATCCATCCATCCATCCATCCATGCATCTATCCACCCATCCTTCTATCCATCCATCCATCATCCTACTATCCATCTTTCCATCCTACTATCCATCCATCCATCTATCCATCCATCCTTCTATCCATCCATCCATCCATCCATCCATCCATGCATCTATCCACCCATCCTTCTATCCATCCATCCATCATCCTACTATCCATCTTTCCATCCTACTATCCATCCATCCATGCATCCATCCTTTTATCCATCCATCCTACTATCCATCCATCCTTCTATCCATCCTTGCATCTATCCATCCATCCATCCTACTATCTATCCATCCATCCTACTATCATCCATCCATCCTACTATCATCCATCCATACATCCATCCTTTTATCCATCCATGCATCTATCCATCCATCCTTCTATCCATCCATCCATCCTTCTATCCATCCATCCATCCTACTATCCATCCTTCCATGCATCCATCCTTTTATCCATCCATCCTACTATCCGCTCATCCTTCTATCCATCCATCCATCCATCCATCTATCCATCCATCCTTCTATCCATCCTTCCTTCTATCCATCCATCATCCAGATTTTAGATCAATAAATGATCCCGGCTTTGAGGATAAAACTGAATATGTCCTGTTTTATCTTTGCCACTTCTTGGCAGAAGGTAGAGATCAACTGTTTACCATCTGACTACTGATTTGGGGTCCATATCTCCATCTCTTTATGAGTCTTTCATGCATGCATACATATTCAGACTGATGCTCCCCTGGGAAACAAACACACAGCTCTCAACAAAATGGTGATTCATAATGTATGACTGGATCCTGGGGAAAACATAACAGGCTTTTTATTTCTTTAATCTCATCACATTATCCCATTTGTTTCTGTATTTTTGCGTTTTCCACAGAGGCAGCAGAGGGTCAGCTGAGTGCTGAGGAAGAGGAGGCCCGGAGGATCGCTGAGATGGGGAAACCCATCCTGGGGGAGCACAGCCGCTTAGAGGTGGTCATTGAAGAGTCCTATGAGTTCAAGGTGCATAGTCATTCCTTTCCTTGTGCTGCCCTCTGTAGGCCATGTTATGAACTTCTTTTGTGAGACTCCTTAGATATCGTTTATTTAATAAAAGCAGAAATAATTAAATATTATCTTTTGGAATTAGTTCTGAAGGTGCTTGGTCACCAAATTCAAGTCTTGATTTTTTAAAACCCACAGAATGATCTTTGTTTCTCTGAACATGTTTTTCCTATTCTTGCCTCTTTTGGACCTGGGTCTCATGCCTTGAGCCAAGCTGCTCCACTGTGACTGAATTATTGAAGCTGCATTAGCTGCCCTCAGTACAGCAGCTACCCTGAGGCATGCTCCACTCTGACTCTGCCCTGCAGGTCTCCTGTAGAAGAAAAGTAACACACTTCTTCATGAACAACCCCGACCTGCAGCTATACAACTGCTCTAAAATCCACACACAGATTTATTATTTTATCAAATATCTATCTAAAAGTAATCCACCTAAAGGCTCTAAAGTCAAAGCCAACACTTGGATTACTTCTGGAGGATTAGTTGTAAAAATTAAATTAAAATCTAATTGAAGATGCAGATTCCACAACTCAGATAATAATATAATAAAAATGACAAACCTGGGTATGATAAAAATCAAATACAGTCTTGCTGCGTCTACAGGATCCTTGAGCAACAGGTTACAAATCACAGCGCAGCCCTGGGTTCAGTTTAGGAAGCAGATTGGAAAAAGGTTTTTTCAGTTCCAGTAGGTTTCCAAACTGAAACCATTCATATGCTAGTGAAGATTCTCAGTCATCCAGGTCATAGCCATTCCAAAAAAAGTTTTAAAAACACAATCCACTTGACTTTGTTTCCAAGTTTGAAGATGTTTCGCTTCCCATCTAGGAATATACGCTAATTCTGACATTTTGGATTGAAAAAGCTTCCTGGATGGGAAGCGAAACATCTCAAATCTTAGAAAACAAAGTCCAGTGGATTGTTGCTGTTTTTTTTTTACTTTTTTGGAATAAAACCAGTCATGTTAAAGTCGTAGGGAAATAATATTTAAATATCAAATCATTCTGGCTTAAACAAATATATAAATGTTAGTTATACGTCAGCCTGAACACCTAATTTCAGCCAATCATATATCAACGGTCATCCGTCAATCAAATTTTTCGGTCATTGCATCTTGATTCATATGTCACAGCTAATATAGGCAATGGTTGAAATAAGAAATAAGAATCATTTCCTTTCTCATTGAGTTCCATCCCAGTGTTCACGGGGATGGACGTCTGTGTCTTCAGCAGGCGTAGAGCTAACAGAACTGGCAGCGTTACGAGGCAAGAGCTCAAACATGTACGGCTGTAAGCCTTCTACACCAAACCAAGCTTCTGCCGCCCTGGCGTCCTCTTCCACAAAATCTTCTTCCCCGCTTTCCTCCTCTAAATAAAAAATGTATGATGGAGGAGACTCATCCACGACCTGCGACACTAAACTCTCCTCCTCTTGCATGTTTCCGCTGTCCATAGCGTTCCTTGACAGTGTCGTTTCTATGTCACCAATTCAGTGCTACTTGGTCCCAGTGGAATTTCCCATTGGGAACCTACTAGCACTAAGTTGCTAACTGGTTAGCAAGATGCTTCAGAGAAACCATCCACAATCAAACTTGTTTGCGAACCTTCCACCACAACAATCCTGCTCCCTTGATAAACGACCATTCACATTCACCTTTACGGGCACCACTCGGGAGAATTCAGAAATGCAATGGTACGAACAGCCATTTCCCTACGACTTTAGAGCATGACCTGGAGAATATAATCCATTATTTTAGTACAGCTTGATTAAATTATTGCACAGCATTTCATGCTTGTTCCAGTCAGGCCTCTCTCTCTGTCACACCTTTTCTTATTGGAAGCTGCTGCTCATCTTTTAATTGTTACACACAAAAATGAACCTATCTCAGCTGTTCTGTCTTCTTTCTACTGACACTTCACCAAAGATCTCTCCATTGGCTTTGCCTTGATGCTCTTAATGCTGTTTCATTGCAGGCCTTTAGATCAGCTGAACACCTTCTGTTGGCTGCAAGAAAATAAAAATAGGATGAAGCTCTGAGATCAGGGACTTTTTCAGTGATGGCTATAAAATTATTTACTAGTTACCACTAAATATCAGCCAGATTTCTCGCTATTATTGTCTTTATCTCTATTTTATGTGTTTTAGTTGCTTTAGAAATACAATGAAGTGTGAGCACCTTTATAAAAGCAGGAGATCTGACAGTTTGCTGCATATTTTGCATTTTCAAAAGATTTGTCTATCAGTCTACAAAGGGAAAGAAAAGTCATTAAAGAAAAGTGGAAATCAGTTGTGAAGCTGCCAGTCTTCCTTAGTGGGAGACGCCCCTCCAAATTCACCTGAAGGACAGACTCAGCAGATCTTCAGTTTGTTTGTTACTTTTGTAAAAGTACCATGGATGAACCTTTTTCTGCTTTGTTCTACTGGAATAAAACCTAAATAGATTTTTTTGCTAAATATTGCAGTTCCTTCCCAGCAGCTTAGAAGGGTTTCTGTAACAGAAGTCTGTTCCCCTGACTGTTCATAGGAGCCATTAATTACGGTTTTATCGCTTTAACATTCTTGTCCTCATCTCTGTTCACACCTGAAAGCTCGGCGGAATTCTCAGAAGAATCATCAAAACAAGATGAATGAGTTTCTCGAATAAAACCTGGCAAAAGAACAGCGGCGTTTTACTAATAAAGTGATTTGCTGTTCTGATTTGCAGAGCACCGTCGACAAGCTCATTAAGAAGACCAACCTGGCGCTGGTTATCGGCACACACTCCTGGAGGGAACAGTTTGTGGAGGCCGTCACTGTCAGCGCAGGTTAGAGCGAGGACAACTTACAGGGACAGGAGGACAGCTGTCCTCCACCTGCACGTTCAGCATCTCTGAACAACTGCTCTAACAGTGATGGATAGAACTGTTTATTATTCAGGATCACCATTTGTGTCCAGTTGGTGCTGCGTGCCTCTAGATAAGCGTGAGCTGATGAGAAACGCTCCTGGTTATCAGTCTGAATATTTAGTGGATGATGTGGGAAATAGTCCCGCTGGTCGAGTCTCTGTTCAGAGACAAGAGCTCTTAAAGCGGTCACAGTTTCATTAAAGATTGTCATATAATAACACATATAACAGCAAACAGTGATTTTAAAACTGAAGTCTGAACTTTAGCACCGCTTTCCTCTTTTTACCAGTAGCTATCTGCTTGGTGTCAGAGAGAATAATCAGTTTATGGGAAACAGGCCTTTGGCAGCTCTCCTCCCACCTGTTTGGTTCACCTTTCTTACCAGATCACTACTTTTAATTGTTTTATTTGTTTATCTTGCAGTTTATTGTTACATTATTTTTTTTTTTACAAAAAACTCTGGACATTGCTTTATTACCTAGCTATTAGCATCTAATTTAACAGAAGTCTTATTTATAAATTGTAAATATTATTCCATAGATAATATTTTATAATATGATTTTATAATATCAAAGTTAATTTCTACCAATTCAAAGTAAAATAGTGAAATGTGGTAAGTCATAATTATGAGATTTAAAGTCATAATTTTGACTTTCATTTATTTGATTATGACTTTATATGTATTGAATTAAATTCTGTTTATTTTTATAGCCCCATGTAAGGGACCGAGCCAAAAGATCACAGAAGCACAGGGAAGTCATTGAGGAAAAAATGGTAACCAATTTATTGAGCAAAAAAAGTTCAAACTTCGAACAAAACTGGGCCCATAAAGGAAAACGAAAGAAAAAAAGAACATAACCCAAACCTGACAAAGGAACAGATCTCCTTAACCGACATATATATACTGGTTGATCAGAACATTTTAACACAAGAGGGGAACATAAAATACATTTACCTAAACAAAATTACAACAAAAGACCAAACTTATCAGAACAATACTAAGTCGGCAACCTACAAGGAAGAGGACTTAAATAATTACACTTCCCGAATGTAATTACAGAATACAAACCTAAAAGAAAAACCTAAACCCTTCCTATAACCCTTCTGGAAGTAAAAGGACTAGGTCTCCAGGTCATTGAGGAGATCCTTTGCAGCTGGGGCCTCCTTTCCTTTACTGGCCTCACCCACATGACAGCCTCCCAGGAACTGGCAACTCAAATGAGAAATATGTTAATCTACAGAAAACCAAACAAGCAAGAAATGACCAAAGCCATATCAAAGTAAAAAAGTGAAATTCACTTCAGCAAAATATAAGATTTTTTTTAAATGGAAGATTTAACAGACCATTTGTTGTTGTTGCACGTGCGGCCATCACACCCCAATTTACAACACATGTCATCTCAAGGCACTATACTGAGACAATTCAACCAGATCATACAGTCACATTGGTTCAAAGTTTTCTGTCTAAGGAAAACCAGCTGATTGCATCGACTCATTGACTCAACAACAATCCATCATGCATTTAGCGAAAGTAGAGAGGAAAACTTCCTTTTAACAGGAAGAAACCTCCAGCAGAACCAGGCTCAGTGTGAGCGGCCATCTGCTGAGGCCGGCTGGGGTTCAAAGAGACAGAAGCAGACATACAGAAAGAAGCAAAGATACAAAAGGCAACTGTCAACCAGCTCCACAGGCGGCCCCGTCCAGGAAACACACAGCCAGGCAGTCAAGCTCCCAGCCAGCTCCCATGTCAGAGGATAAAGAGAGCACATCCAGTTAGTCACAGTCAGAGAAACAGGACTAAACTGATAAATAGACCAAGCTCCAACGCCTATAAATAAAGGTGTTGATGGCAGCAGCACAGCTGATATTTCTCTCCAGAATGGTTTCATAGAAAAACAGGAAGAGACCAGATGAAGCTACTATGAGAAAAAGCAGAGAGAGCAGAACGTTAGAGATTGAACTAACAGATTTTAAATTATATTCTGGATTTAACAGGAAGCCAATGAAGAGAAGCCAGGATAGGAGAGATTATCTCTATTTTTAATTTTCATCAGAACTCTGGCTGCAGCATTTTGGATCAGCTGAAGGCTTTTATCTACAGTGTGTGGACTTTTTGATAATAAAGAATTAGAATACCAAATGCATAGAGTAGTTTCTCAGCATCACCCCTGGACAGGATATTTCTAATTTTTGAAATTTTCTGTAGATGAAAGAAGGAAATTCTAGAAACCTCTTTGATATGGGATTTAAATGACAGGTCCTGATCAAAATGAACAACAAGATTTTTTACTTTTTTATCTGAAATCAGTTTTATCCCATCCAAATAAATTGACTGACTAATCAGCTTCTTTTTCAAAGACTCTGCTCCAAAGAATCTAACTTCTGTTTTGTCTGCATTCAGAAGCAGAAAGTTAAGAGTAATCCAGGTTTTTATGTCTTCAAGACATGCCTGTAATCTATGTAATGGATTAGTTTCATCTGGATTTATAGACAGATATTAGATTAGATTAGATTCAACTTTATTGTCATTACACAGGTACAGGTACAAGGCAACGAAATGCAGTTTAGGTCTAAAGTGCAGGATAAATAATTGTTCCATAAATACAGGACATGGGTTTCTACTGAGTATCATCATCATAACAGTGGACATTAGTCCCATGTCTAATAATTCTACCAGTTTGGAGCATATATATAGTAAAGAGAATTGGCCTTAGCACTTATCCTTGTGGTCCTCCACAGGTAACCTTGGAGCAGTCAAAGTCAAAATTATGACTTTAAAGTTTTATTAATCAGATATAGAGTAAAATAAAGTTTGTGGGAGACAGAAAGATTCTTAGAAAGAAAAAATTATAAAAAAAATCAACCTAGAGTTGAACAGTGTTTCCCTCCTCTATAAAATATTTTGTAAAGCTTGAGAGCTAACAAATGATTATCACAGATTTGTGCTTCTGCCTGCAGGTAGACTTTAGAAAAACCATCATAGCTCCCAACAGGCTCCAGAAGTGCATGCTGTTTTACAAAGTTGTTGTTCTTCTTTTTTTTATGTCTGTATATTCTCTGATGTTTTATTATATACAAACATGCTATAACAACGTACATGTAACTTAAAATCACTTTATTAAAGGGAAGATTTCTTAAACTATTTGACTATTCTATTTATAATGACAAATTTAGAGTTGTTTTTTTGCACTGACACATTCTTATTTTTACTTTTTACATTTTTAACCCTTGTTTATTTTCTGCATGCCTTTAGCATTATATAGATATAAATTATATAATTTATTAATTTATTAAATGTGCTTGTAAGACTGAAATACTCTCTCCGTTACCGCCCATCATTTTAACTTATTTTATTTATACATTATGAAACAAACTGGAGTTTTCACTGTTTAACTTTATACAGTAGTAAGATGATCAACAAGAAGAAATTAAGATAGAATACAATAAGAAGAATTTATGTGAATATATATGGGAAAAATATTAGATAAAAAATAAGTGTGATGCTAATTTATTTGTCAATATTTACTGACTAATAATCGACAGGAGTTTAAGCTTCATTGATGTGATTTACCACTTCGCTCCATCCATGGATGCAGTCCTTATCAGATAAACGTGTCTGAGATTGTTTGGTTTAATTAAGTCCTTTTTTTCATACCACCACCTGAACACATTTACATAACATTCAAAAAGATTCAAATTAATACTTGGTTCAAATACATTAGTGTCTCATTATTTATAGCCCTTTTTTCAGTAGATCATTAATATTACCTCCATTTAAGCTCAGATGTTTTTTGGACTGTTGTTTGCAGTGCGACTGATGGAAAATCAAATTCATATTCTTTGTTTTTTATCTCATATGACAGAGCTTAAACTTCTAAGTGAAGTCAACTGTCAAGGGGGAATAACAGCATTTAATCTATTTGGGTGTAAAAGAACAGGTAGGTTGGATTTCTAACTTTTCTCTCTCCTCCAGGTGACGGTGATGATGATGAGGAAGGGCGTGAAGAACGTCTGCCTTCCTGTTACGACTACTTCATGCATTTCCTCACCGTCTTCTGGAAGGTTCTGTTTGCCTGTGTCCCACCCACAGAGTACTGGAACGGCTGGGCCTGCTTCATCGTGTCCATCAGTGTTATCGGTTTCCTCACCGCCATCATTGGTGACTTGGCGTCCCACTTTGGCTGCACTGTGGGGCTGCGGGACACCGTGACCGCCGTGGTGTTTGTGGCTCTGGGAACCTCAATCCCAGGTGGGTTTTACATGTTTCCATCGTGTCGTATTTTGGTTCCTCTGCATCAGTTTTGGTCTCTTTTTTTGTACCACTTTGATTTTATTTTGCATGTTCTTTTAATTTTTATTGTTTTCAGTACCATTGGTTGTAGTGTGTCTCAAACCTATCATGTTTTTCTTTTTCTCTATATCAGAGGTTATTTAATCTTTGTGGTTTTGTGTTTTTGGATCTCTTTATAGGTTTTTTATTTTTTGATTGACTATAATTGGTTGTGTTTTTTTTCGCTTTATCACCATTACTTTTCATTATACTGTATTACCCTTTCAGTGTTAGGGTCACATTACATCGCATTACAAACACAAACTTTATTGTATTTTACTAGGATTTTATATTGGTAAGGTAAATTTGTTTCATTCTTTACAAACTTAAAAAAAAGACAGTGAGAGTGACGGTAGGCAGGTTTGGGTTCTAAAAGGATATCCTAATCAAAACTTTACATTTTGGTTGAGTTGAAAAAAGAAAACCTTTATTGAAAGAAGCCATAAAAAGTCCCGTTTTAAAACCACAAACAGGTGGATGGAGCTTCTTTTTCTGAAATTGGATGATGCAAAACTGACTTGTTTACTTTCAAAATGGTCAATGGATAGAAGACGAGAGCTGCAAACTTACTAGAAATATACAAATAAAACAGTGCTGTTAAGACACACGAAAAGGAGCTAGCAAACAGAAAATATGTTAACACAAAAAACACATGAAAAGGAGAAACTACTGTTTTAAGTTGTTTTTGGTACTCTGCAAACTGGAGGTGAAATAAAAAGCTCACAAAGCAGCTTTTGCATAATGTAGCTGCCTCAGACCACTAAGGGGAGATCATCATGACTAATAACATAAACAGGATGCAGGTTCAGAAGACTCTTAATGGGTAAAAATAAAAGCAAGATTTTCCTTTAAGTCCTTTTAGAGAATCTTGTTTATCTTTACTAAGAATCTGGTCCCATTTATACTGATGATAGCCTCTGCTTCATGGTCTCAAGTTCCTCTTGTTATACGCCGCTAGTTTGCAGCTTTTTTTTTACCCTCCAGTTGTTTTTGTTAGTTGCAGAAGTTTTCATGTGTTTTGAATGTTGATGTTATTCATTTATTTGTTTTCTACAGTGTCAGTTGATCCTCTCTAATTCAGGGGAGGCTCAGTAGTGTTAATTAAATCCTCTTTCATTTACAAATATTGAAACGCATAAATCACATCACTACAGCAGGTGAAAATAGCTGCTGTGAAAGACTCTGAAATAAAAACAACTCTAGAAATCGCGGCTAGAGTTCAGAACAAGATAACTGTTCTGACTAAATGATCACTTTTTCCTCTTGACGTCTGTGTCATCGGCAGGTGTAGAGCTAACAGAACTGGCAGCGTTGGGAGGCAAGGGCTCAAACATGTACGGCTGTAAGCCTTCTACACCAAACCAAGCTTCTGCCGCCCTGGCGTCCTCTTCCACAACATCTTGTCCCGCTTTCCTCCTCTAAATAAAAAATGTATTACGGAGGAGACTCATCTACGACCTCGGACACAAAACTCTCCTCCTCTTCATAGGTGGATTAATGACCGGGCCTACCGGGCCCAGGCCCAGGGGGCCAGAGGCCCCAAGGGGCCAGGCCAACTTGGCCCCGCGGCCGCGACCCAAGCAAAACTACTTTTGCAAAAATAATAATCTTAGGCCCCAAGGGGCCAGGCCAACTTGGCCCCGCGGCCACGATCCATAGAGGGTAAGAGGCCCCAAGGGGCCATGATCCATAGAGGGTAAGAGGCCCCAAGGGGCCAGGTCAACTTGGCCCCGCGGCCACGACCCACAGAGGGCCTGAGGTCCTAAGGGGTCAGGCCAACTTGGCCCCGCGGCCATGATCCATAGAGGGTAAGAGGCCCCAAGGGGTCAGGCCAACATGGCCCCGCGGCCATGATCAATAGACGGTCAGAGGCCCCAAGGGGCCAGGCCAACTTGGCCCCGCGGCCACGATCCATAGACGGTCAGAGGCCCCAAGGGGCCAGGCCAACTTGGCCCCGCGGCCATGATCCATAGAGGGTCAGAGGCCCCAGGGGGCCAGGTCAACTTGGCCCCGCGGCCACGACCCACAGAAGGCCAGAGGCCCCAAAGGGCCAGGCCAACTTGGCCCCGCGGCCGCAAGCCACAGAAGGCCAGAGGCCCCAAGGGGCCAGGTCAACTTGGCCCCGCGGCCACGACCCACAGAAGGCCAGAGGCCCCAAAGGGCCAGGCCAACTTGGCCCCGCGGCCGCAAGCCACAGAAGGCCAGAGGCCCCAAGGGGTCAGGCGAACTTGGCCCCGCGGCCACGATCCATAGACGGTCAGAGGCCCCAAGGGGCCAGGCGAACTTGGCCCCGCGGCCAAGATTCCATAGAGGGTCAGAGGCCCCAGGGGGCCAGGTCAACTTGGCCCCGCGGCCACGATCCATAGACGGTCAGAGGCCCCAAGGGGCCAGGCCAACTTGGCCCCGCGGCCACGACCCACAGAAGGCCAGAGGCCCCAAAGGGCCAGGCCAACTTGGCCCCGCGGCCGCAAGCCACAGAAGGCCAGAGGCCCCAAGGGGCCAGGTCAACTTGGCCCCGCGGCCACGACCCACAGAAGGCCGAGGCCCCAAAGGGCCAGGCCAACTTGGCCCCGCGGCCGCAAGCCACAGAAGGCCAGAGGCCCCAAGGGGTCAGGCGAACATGGCCCCGCGGCCATGATCCATAGACGGTCAGAGGCCCCAAGGGGCCAGGCCAACTTGGCCCCGCGGCCACGAGCCATAGAGGGTCAGAGGCCCCAGCGGGCCAGGTCAACTTGGCCCCGCGGCCACGATCCATAGACGGTCAGAGGCCCCAAGGGGCCAGGCCAACTTGGCCCCGCGGCCACGACCCACAGAAGGCCAGAGGCCCCAAAGGGCCATGCCAACTTGGCCCCGCGGCCGCAAGCCACAGAAGGCCAGAGGCCCCAAGGGGCAAGGTCAACTTGGCCCCGCGGCCACGATCCATAGAGGGTAAGAGGCCCCGAGGGGCAAGGTCAACTTGGCCCCGCAGCCGTGACCCACAGAGGGCCTGAGGTCCTAAGGGGTCAGGCCAACTTGGCCCCACGGCCATGATCCATAGAGGGCCAGAGGCCCCGAGGGGTCAGGCCAACTTGGCCCCGATCCATAGAGGGTCAGAGGCCCCAAGGGGCCAGGCCAACTTGGCCCCGCGGCCACGACCCACAGAGGCCCCAAGGGGCCAGGCAAAATTGGCCCCGCGGCCATGATCCACAGAGGACCAGAGGCTCTCAATCATTATTATCAAAGCTAATTCTCAAATTGGATGGATCACACAACCTCACTCACATATTCTTTATCAATTATTAAAGGTTGTTTCTGAATTTTGATCACAGAACTTAATGCAAATATTCTTGATTGATTGACAAAGCTCATTCTCAAATTTTGATTACACAACCTTACTCTGACAAATTATCATTATCAAAAAGCTCTATCTCGAATTTGGATCACAGAATCTCACTCAAGTATTCTTAGCTGTGCCCCTCCCCCATCGAGTCTTTCATAAACCGGTCTGTTCTTTTAGAATCTCCTCATTTGGTATTTTGAACTCGTGAGAGACTGCTCAAAATTTGGTTTCCTTTCCCTCAGTTCAGACTCAGAGATAATTTGAAATCATTCAACAAGAAGTTTAACGCACACACACACACACACTTGAGTTGAGCATTACTTGGAAATTCTTATATTTTCCATTTTGCTGTTACTATCAGCATCTTCCCATTTTGTCCTTTTCTTTCGAAAAAGTTTACAGTCTGACATTTGTCACTGCTGTCAGTTAATAACTTTTTGGTCTTTGACCCATTTTGTCATTTTCTCGATTCGATCGTCACTGACCACTCTCTCCTGTCTGGCAGACATCGTTGCTGCCATCATAGCTAGCAAGCTGCCTGCAGATAGCAACATTTTGGTGTCCTTTGTGAAAATATTTAGATAGAAGACAAAAGTGCACAAAGTTGTACAATTATTATCTTTTCAAAATATTTGTTTCACTGTCAGTGTGATTGACCGACTTTGCCGCTAGATTTTGTGTCTTTTGGCCATACCTGGCTAGCGACTAAAAACATAATTTAGCGACTTTTTGGTTGTGAAGATAAGTGGTAAAAGCAGATCTGACTGTTGGTCTTCCCACATTTTGCCATTTGGTACTTTGCACTCTTGTTGGTCACTCCAAGGCATTTGTCCCTGCCTTCAGCTAGTCACTTGGCTCTTTTGGAATATATTTCACTGTAATTGGCTCTCTCTCTCTTTCTCCTCAGTACAAATCAGTCTGTTCCCTTGCCATTTAGACATTTTCTTGATTCGATCATCACTGACCACTCTGCTCTCCTGCTGTCTATCAGACGAATCAGTTGATTCTCTGCTCTCAATTGTCTATGCTAGTAAGCTGTTATTCTCTGCTTTGGAGAGTTGATGCTGGGTTGCTAGTTTTCTAAATCACCTCACACACTTGAAGGAAGCAGCACCGATCATAAACACACAAACAAACTCACACACACACACACACACACACACACATAGTTGGTTTATCTGTTGTGATAGGCAAAGAGCCAATGTGCAAAGAAAGAAGGGAAATATGGATCATAAACGTTTAAGTGGAGGAGCTAGAAAAAAAATTCAGCAAGAAAAGAAAAAAAAGGAATCAGTTTTACTTGAGAGTGTTCCAAATATCTCCAGCTTCTTCAGTACAAAGACATCTGCTGAAAGCAATTCTATAAATGCTACTGCAAATTCAGCTAAGGTTAGCAATGCACCTGAGCTAGCATGTAGCTCCCAAGATCCTGAGACCACTACAAGTGTAGACACTGAACCAAATGCTTCCGATGCTTATGATTCAACCAATTCAGCAGTAGCCAGTTGCTCGGATGAATGTGAGGTCACTGCACCTCTGGACAGCATAGAAAATGAGCTGAATCTTTCTTCAACACCATCTACAGTGACAACTCTACCTA